AATTTTGGTTCCTGGTGGTAAATATTATTTCTGGGAACACGTGGATCATTTCCACAAACGACATCGGCACGAGGCACGAACGTTGCACAGCAACGTGAAATTTGTTTTGAAGATGCTTCTGCAGCCTTATGCGAAACATTCGCACTCGACGGAAGCTCATCATCAGCACGTTGAGCATCAAAAAGAGGTGAGATGTCTCTGTTGATAATGGGTTGTTCGAATCGTTGTACCGCAGACTTTTGTGTAACGAGGCTATTTCTCTCTTTGAACGACTTCGTTGTAACAAGATTTTACGGTTCTGTCGACAGGATGGATGATTCAATTGTGGCAATAACTCAAAAATTAAATTGATGTGTGGCATAGTGCGTAGTCGATATCGAAAAGGCTGCGCGGTTACATGCTCTGTATTCGAGTACAGTACAGTAAAATATTTGCGAACCAGCAAATCTCATTTTCTTCGGCTGCTTGCGTTTTAGGTTTTCAGTAATGTCATTATTTCAGATGAGATTTGATTCTGCAGTGAACATTATCATTCAGATGATGTAGAAGCATATTCCGCTTATTGCGCAAAAGTTTTTTTCGAACCATCTTTTATCAATTTAGTGCATGTGGCAAAATCAGTCCTCACTCCTCACGCTGTGATTTAAAACAAGGATGTATGGTCGAGTTTGACAAAAGATTCTCAAATATTTCAACCCTGTGTGATTGACAGATTCATTCCTCTACTAAAGATCCGTTTCAAACATCGGGATAAGATGAGGTTGGAGTGTACCTTTTTAAAGATCTTGAACAGATAAAAAACACTATTGTCAACTTTCAAAAGGCCGATAATTAAAAAAGCTGTTTTCCATCACGAGCCGATATACTTCATTATTTGATTTTACATACTTTTCCCCAATGCGAAGTAGTTTATTTTTAATAAGTTTTTTTTTTTTTAAATCTAATGTAGATGAAATAACGTCACAATGTTCCTTGTCTGGTGCTCATCCTGATTTTGAAAAAATGAACACCAGTCAACCAGAGTAGCTAGACTTCGATTCCTCAAGACTCTTTCTGAGACGTCCTTTTGAACCGAGTCGATGTGGCAAAGCATGAACACGTGAATGGACTTGTTCCATGAATTTCGATTTTAGCTGATTCAATTTTTCACATATGGCTTTAAAATCTTTGGATTGAAAAATAAAATGGATGAAACTTTGTGAAAAAAGGATCTGAGGAAAGTCTGATTGACTTTTTCAACTCTCGTAGGGAAAAATTCACTGCTCTATTCGACGCTACCTTGAAAAAAGTTTTTGGATCCACGCGTAAAACGTTACTTGATGTTCCATATTCATAGATGAGTGCAGAAGAAGAGCTGCTGAGACGCAAAGGGTTTTCTTCACTCACCTGCGACTATTTCAAACTGAAAGACGAGGTCTACGAGCAGGAGTTCGACAGGTTGTCATGGTTCACCAGACGCTGCTCGCCCTTGTTCGAAGGACTGAATCACATTCGGGGCATTGCGACCAAGTAAAATAATTCAGTTCTCCATGTTCAAAGTTGTAAACTATCGATGGTTTCCTTGTGAAATTTTTTGGTGTAAATTGATAGCTTTTGATTACCTCGAAAAGTCGTTCGAGCTCGACGGAGGCATTCTGGATTTTTTTTTCATATGTTATAACTTCTGTGAGCTGGAAACTTGCTTTCTAGCCGGGTCTATGGGCAATCGTTCTCGAATTTTCAAGGGCTGTAAGATGATATTTGCTTCATCTCCTGTAACAAAAACGTGTACTTTTTTTTAGTAAATAAAACGTGTTTTGTTTATGGGTGTAAAATGTGTGTATCTTGATTCATCGAATTTCGGGCTTCCGAGTGCTCTCTTTTTCGCGGCACACTTTCCGAGAGAACGTGTTCTGGAAATGTTGATGTGCGCGTGTGTGAGTGTACCTCAAGAAGGTTAAAGTTGCATGCCTCCTATAGTAGAACGACGAACAAACCTTTTCGAGGAAGTGTTTATGCCAGCAGGCAACCATGACTGCGTCGTCCTATCACGAACAGGCGATCAAAGCGTTGCTCCCCGTATCTGGTGACCAGATTGCAGTAGAAGATAATGCGGTATTGATCGATCACCTTTAGTGCATTTGGGTCTCCCTATCTTTTTCGAATGATACCCTCTTCACTTCAACCTTGAGAGACGATTCCAACCGAATACTTCTGTCCGCATTGCGTACTCCTGTACTCCTGTGCTGGTCACTTCATTCCTTCAAGAGTATAAGTACAGTACGCTCAAACCTTTTTAAGTTAAGCATCAAGGGACTGGCAAAAATCGATTTGGGGAAACGAAGCATTTCTGTGAGTTACTGTAAGAAGAAGTGCAGGAAATTGTGATTTGAAAAATATATTGGGCTTCAAATTGCTTCTAGAATGAGTTGACAGGAGGCTGAAGCTGTAGACAAAAGTTCATTTGCTGGATCAGTCTCACTTTTTTCCCCAACAGGCATCAGGTTACTTTCTTACACGTTTCTCTTCCCTGTGTCAATAAAATTATATCCAAAAGGCCCCCAGCAAATTCGAATTGCAGAGGTTAGAGGAGGAAAGCCATTGAGTTGAGGGAAGTTTTTAATACATTGTTTTCAAGGGNAATCCATAATTTACATCAAACCTTGGAGGTGCTGCTTTCACGCAGTAGATTCCTTGTATTTTTCCAAATGTTTCGCGGAATCGAAAATTCCTGCCGACTCCGCATGAAAAATCCAAAAATTCAGCGAAAATTCGGGATCACCGCGAATGAATACTATACGACCCCGAAAAAAAACCCCTTCCCATATACTTGCCCCTCAAGCTCACATTTCCTCGAATTGGTACGCGGAAAGCAGCATATCGTGGAATCATAGAAGGCCTCAGCATTATTCCCGCCGTTGTTCCCTGGCACAGGTCCTGGAAAAAAACTGCATGTGAGCCGGACTGAATAATTTATTCGGAACCCTGGGGAATACCTGAGCGCATTAAATAAAGGAAACGCCCCGAGTGGGACGCACGTTAGTTGGCTTCGGTCTTCCGAGCCTGGACGCAGTTCGACCAAAGCTATCAGGAAACGAGTTTCCTGATCAGTGTTATCATAGCTTTTCTTCGAAATCGATTCAGTGATGCGCTAGGATTTTTGGTCAACGATGAGAAGTTGCTAGAGTCCGTATTCCTCTATACGTTCGGTCCTGTCCGCGCGCAGTGAAGATGTGGATTTTCTAAGTGTATCAAAAATTCGGGGTAAATGCATACGTCGATCGAGATCTCTGTTAAAAGACGAGGGAGCTATTTACTTGAAAGTATTTCGGTCATCTTCTGCCATTCGAAGTCCTTCGTGTCTCTTGGTTGGCTACGGAAATCAGTTGAATAAGAATCCTTTTGTTAAAAAGTGGATTTGATTTCCGTAAATATTTGTAAATGGAGCCCACAGCGGCCGTCTGGAAATATGAGTACGGAAGTGTGAATCAGTGTGTTAAGTATTTTTGATGAAGGTTTTGATTGAACCGCGCCTAAAGAAGAATGAATCGAACTCTTGTCAGTGTGCGATGCGAGCGCAAGGTCATTAAAAAATGCTAATAAGTTCGTTGCCTGCGTAACCTTATGCAGGATAGACTCAATCTCATCTTTTAGTTGAAAAAGACTGCTTCGGAGCACACGTTATTGAGGGTCTCACTCCTCTGAAGCTTGCATCGGTCAATCATGATCCGAATCGGTATTCTAGGGTGCGGAAGGTTGGGTGAGTATATACACATCGTATGATTGCCTCATTCGCGCAGCTTACATATAACGGCCGCATCTCTCCCTCTCTCGAATGACTGTGGCCTATGCATTCGGGTTTCAGGATCATGAAAAATTTTTACTGTATATATATTCAACAGTACTGCCTTAATTTTTCTTTAAACAACTGCAGAAGTACACAGCAGCACAGTATCTCACTTCAGCAGACCTTCCTATCCGGAAACTTTACGATAATAATGATTTTTTGTGAAATTAGCAGTATTTATTCCAGATCTATAGTAATACCCCCGGAAATTTCCGAATGGTTCTGGCTCATTTGCGTTTCTTTCTTTCGTAAATGCCTGCACGAAAGTTATTGTAGTGCGGCCTATATATACGGCTTGCATACTGTACAAAACAATGCAGTACAATCGAACTCGTGAGTGTACTTAGGCTTGTACGAGAACATATGTTTCCCATAACGAAGTGCGGAAACAATTCTAGATCGACCCAACATACACACAACGTGTAAGATCATGAATTGCCAGCATTTCTCAATCGTCGTGGCGAAATGAAGTTGCTTGCGTAGAAAGTGCGAGGATTTCAGGTCTCTTCGGATTACTCATCCCAACCAATATGCATCGAAATTCGCACATAGATGATCGCATTCCCAGTCACAATGGGCAATGGTATAGAGAGTTCGATCCTTTGTACTGTATTAATTAGTATTTCGCGTCGGAAGCCTGTCACCCCTGCTGTATGCTCAACCATCAATCATGACACAACAACGTAATACATCAGGGGAATATTTATGCGACCGGATCAACCAGGAAGAGTCCATGGAAATCGGGTTCGTGTGGAACAGATCCCCGGAAGGCGCAGAGAAGCTAGCCTTTAAGCATCGCGTTCCTACCGTGATCACAGATCTGGAGCGTGACCTACCGCAATTACTACCCAAGGACGAACGCACGTCCAGCAACAGCAACACGTCCATTCATCTGGTTGTTGAGGTTGCCCACCCGGACGTTACACGGGTTATTGGCGGTTCCGTGATCAAGAGCGGATGCAATTATTTCATCGGGTCGCCGTCCGTGTTGGCTGATGAGAGTGTGATGCGTGATTTGGAGTCGGCTAGTGCGCAATCTGGTGCGAAGGTGTATGTGCCTTGTGGCGCGTTTTGGGGAGCAAACGACATCGGGAAAATGGCGGATTTGGGCACCCTGTCGTCGCTCGTCATTACCATGCGCAAGCATCCGAGCTGCCTGAAGATTGAAGAGCTAAAGGTATCGAGAGTGATTCATCATACGCAGGCAAAGTTTGCTGCGTAATGTTTGAGCCATTAAGTTTTAACGCGCTGCCCGTCGTTATTGAAACATGATCTCGTATTAACGCAATGATTTTATAGTCACGGGGAAAAATAATTCGCATCCGCACGTTGCAGCGAAATCTACGGGATATATTCATATATACACGCCCATATATTTGTTTTCGTGTCATCATCACGAATTACCAAATGATCAAAGCCACATTGTACAGTTGAAAGCATTATGAAGGAAACGCCTATACATATGCCTGAATAATGTGCGTTCCTGTATTTGAAATGTGGTTCCCATTTTTGAGCAGCATTGGTGTGAGCAGTTTTTGCGCATAAATCAATGCAGTATGTCATGTGTGCTGAAGTGCGGATTGCTTCTACATTTTTCAGACGAATCGTCCTGCAAATACCATGAATAATGAGACGCATTATTATGGGAAAATTCCATTAAAATGCCCGAGTTATAAATGGACGGTTGGAAAACCGTGGCTGATGCAGTACACTGAAGTATAATTGTCCGATAAGCTCACGCCTTTTTTAGCTGTTTTATTTTTTAAATATGTAAAATAAAGCCACAAAATAAATAAAACAGTTCCTTAGAAAATAATTCCGAAATATTTTATTTCAAATAATTTTCAAGGGGCTGGAGCGAATCGGTGAAAAAATTGAGCGTCAAGGAACTCATTTACACGCAGTAATGGTCCCAGAAAAAGGGTCCGGCAGGGGTCCTTTGTTGTCAACTTTCCGCGCCTGCTCAGCTCCCCTCCTCTTCCTTCCTGATATTTTTGGTGCATGG